AACGCATCCTCGTGATGCAGTTTGGTCTTCGGACCCTTGATATGCTTTTGGGGCATTTTGATTTTCTTTTGGATTATCATTTGACGTTATAAATTGTTTTTTTTTTTTTACTTGCTATCTCATATTCATTGTTTATTTATATTATTATCCGTTCACTGAGCATTAAGCTCAGCCGAGATTTTCTTGTCCTCGGCAGGTACATGACTTGGCAGGGATTTTGGGATGAGAGTTACGGAGATGACAATATTGAAGATAACTCATTAAGTCATATTTTTGTTAAACTTTTGATGACTAATGTAGACATGCTGGTATTTTGGGACCGTATTTTGAGATACGTTATCTCCGTTTGTGGTTATGTAATTATCTTTTGGTAAATTTTAATTAGCAGCTCTGTTTTATATAGCATGTTAGTTTTATTCCAATTGTGGCATCTCCCGTCTTTGACCACGCGGGACGGGGGTGTTACACTACCACACCCCCACCTCCAACCTCGCTCCCCCACTCCATCGACCACCATGCCACTATTATTATCATCACAGCTACCACCCCACTCCCACCCAACCCCTCCACGGACCACTATGCCACTATTGTCGTTGTCATATTCCAATTCATACTACCAACAAAACGCATGGTCAAATTCCATTACAATTCTTCAAAGTTAAATTCTTTTGATTGATTTCAATCCTCGAAACTATATTCTTTTATTTGTCAAAAGCAAATAAGTGTAAATAAGGTTGATAAGTAGGGTTGAGCAAATCCCTCCAAATTTGACTCTAACTGATTTTGAGATAGAATTGTAGGAAAATGTATGTACTTTTTTGACAAACAATTCATCCACAACAGATGTCATTTTTCAATTTATAAAAAGAGAAATGATTAAAATAAAAAATATATGGTTTAAATGTTTAATGCACCGGCCCCAAACCCAATCCCATACCGCTCTATTCTTTCGTATCGTCATGGTATTAAGTACCATTAAGCTTGTGCAGGCTTTGTTGATTCAGACGATGGGCTTGTTATCCACTTATTTGACTTACTTTTCCCCATATTCTTGTTGTCAGATTTTGACCAACAATTCAAGACCCCATCTTGTTTTTTTTTTTCTTTCTTTCATATTCCTTGTGCTTTTTCTCATGGTTAATTACAATATATGCATGTACGGCTTGAGTTTAAGATTTTTCATATGCTTTCTTGTTAGTCAAGTCACAAATCAATTTGTCTAGATTTGGATTATAGTTGCTAGTCAATACAATATGGTTTCTTGTTACTCCATCTTAATTCTGATTCATATCTTTCTAAATGATTTCGGACGTAATAAATAATTCATATAAATAATAATAAATTAATAAGAAAATGTCAAACTTTTCGAATCGTCTAAAATTGAAACGAGAATGTGTGATTGATACCGTACCGGCAAACACCAAATTGCAGCCACCCACCCCCTCCATTTGCATTCACTCTTTAGTCTTAAGAGTTGAAATTTAATATATATATATATATATATATATATATATATATATATATATATAGTTTGACTTTGATTGAAAAGGTGAAAAATGGACACGTAGTTGATGCAAAAACCCTTGAATTCGAAATGGGAAATGTTTATAAAATTGAATAGTAGGCTAAGTTACGTGGGACCGAGGGCAAATGATAAGGCTTTCATACGTGCACCGATGTCATATCTTTTCATTTAAGTTTCATAAAATCTTACTTCTTCACAGTATACTTTTATATTTATTTTAAGAAACTAAGAGGCCCTTAATTACAAAACACTTACTTGGTAAGTGTTTAATGCTATAAATTTCCTCATCGGATGAAAATGAGAAGAGCCAAGAATCTTACCGGATAAGAGCAATGCAAATAATTAATGGAGAGTCTTATCCGGTAAGTGAAAATGACGACTCTTACCCAAGTAAGCGCAGTAAATTGTTGCATTCGATATGTTTTGATGTACTAAAATCTTATGCATCAAAATAAATTATAGTGTTAACTCCTATTGGTAAGCACTTACCGGATAAACGATTCATAAATAGTTGAAAAGGGACGGTTACTTTACATATCAAGCCATTTCTATAAAACTATGTAACCTATTTGTGACTCGTAGATTTTATCAATATGTGGTTTAATTAATTGAGTTATTCATGTTAATAAAAATTAACATCTTTAATTAATTAAACTATCTCGAAAAGGTAAAATCGTTCAAAAGATGGAACTCATGATATTGGAAATCGGATGAAATCGTGAAAATTTAACGGACATGATCAATGGCACTACTACTATAAAACTGAAGAGTGAAGACTATCATTCCGTCACTAGTCCATCACTAAAAGTCTAACTCGTCGCTGGTAGTTCATGGGGAATGCTATCAATGACGGATCAGCTATTGAAGGTTATAAACGAGGGATTGATGAGTGAAGGTTATCAGCGACAGATTAGTGACATAAAGTTTTTAGCGATGGAACGATTTGTTGATTTAAGTGATGATAAGTATTATTACTACAAGAAATTAAGGAAAGCATATTATTGGGGAATGAGAAAATAAAAGAGAGAGAATTGATTTGTAATTTGTAAAGGTCAAAATATTCGTCTCTCTTGAAATCTTTATTAAATGAAAAGAGGGGGATGAAGCTACAAGAAAAACCATGTTTTCAACTCTTTTTTGCAGAAAAACACAAAGAAAGTTATGATCACTGTTTTCCTTAATTAACTTCTCTTCTATATGTCACACCATACATAAATAAATCATAAATGGATTAAATTATAAAACTATCTTTTTTATATATATATATATATATATATATATATATATATAGATATAGATATATATTTTATGTTCAAACAAGAACACTTATATTTTACGAAAATGTGAGAACACCCTTATCACATGTGATAATACGCAGTAAGGAGACCCTATGATTTTAGAAACGATATCAAGACCATGAATTTCATTTCTAATCCTTTCTTTTCTCAGATCTCAAGACCCAAAGTTGATTTTAGACCCATAATGATGCATTTAGGATCGTTAATGATAATAAGATCTATTTTATCCATTTAGACTCATGAAAAGGATTTCGTTAAAAAATAATTTCCATGAAAACCAATCCGTCGAAGATATCCCTTAAAAGTGTTGTTGAAAATCTCTTGGAATCTTCATGGATTTTTCGACGGATTTATTTGGTCGAAAATTCCATTGAGAATCCCTTGGAAACACTCATTTTCGACCAAAATTTCACCGACACGAATTTCCATTGAAAATAATTGTTTTCGATGGAATTTTCCGTCTAAAAAGCCCACCTGTTTTATACTAATTATTTTAAAAATAAATATTTTATCATACAACATTTGAGACTTGAAAATTCTA